TCAAACGACTTAGCTCCTTGGGAAAGTCTGAGGAAGAGGAGGGAAGTGGAGAAAGACGGACCCAGGGCAGACCACCAGTGTTTGAGCTGGGAATTAAGACTCACTTATCCACCTGGATGGGACAGGTTCTATTATACCAACTGAATCTACTTGGAGGGCAGCTGGTGAGCAAGGCAATGCAAAGTCATTTGCTCCCTGTTGTTTAGAAGCACGACGTTCTGAGTACCAGGCACAGAAACATTTCAGAGTAGCCTATACAACGAAATACCCCTTGGAAAATGGACTTCGGTTCACCTTCTTCTTTTGGGCTGTGGGACAGCCAATGAATGGTGCAGGGTGTACTTGACTATGAAAGGGCTCGATCTTCCCCTCGTCTGGCGAAACTGCAGAGCCCTATAAACGAGTGTCAGTCTTTACTCATCTCCTATTCCCCCACGCCTGCTAACTTCCAATCCCTGACATACAAAAAGTTTTTTTTTAAGCATGTGTTCAAAAAACAGAAGACTTTATGGAGCCCTGTATGAGGCCCAAGAAATAAGATCTCCTACTTAAAGAGCCAGAAAGACCCATAAAAGCTACAAAATTATACAAGTTTTATAATGAAGCTTGCTTATGGATTGTAAAAGGTCTAAACAGTTTGTTAATAATAATCCTTTAAACTGGAAAACTTAAAGATCAATTTACCACTCTTCCCCTTGCCCCCCCAACACAACTAGTTGAAACTATTTAACTATTTGAGACAGAAGCAGCCACTCTGAAGACTTTTCTAAGGCTTTCCTGGCTGGTCAATTGCCTTGGGCGTTTCTTTGGGGGAGGCGGACAGGATGAGGAAAGGTCGTTAGGGGAGTATCCCTTTGGACTGGTGTCCTCTCTCAGCTCTCTGGTGCCTTCACTATTTTCAGCCAGACTGGAAGTTCACCGATAGAAATATTCCTGTGTTAAATTTCTCCTTCACTGTGGATTAGCCACTTCAGATTTGATACAGTTACCATGGGCTACTTTAACTACTGAATGAGGCAAATTCAGCCATCCAATGATGAACTCTGGAACTTTTCATATGCTCCGGATTATTTCATAAGAATGGTGCCATCATCAGTAGTCAAGATGCTTTTATTGAGTGCCTACTATATGCAAACAATAGAATTATGCATTTGGTTTGAATTTGTCACAGTACCGGGAAGTAGAATGTTGCTGCATTTAAGGGAGGGAGGCCGGGTAACTCCCTACTCTGGACTTTGGGACAAATTACTTACCTTCAGTTTCCTAATCAGGAAAATGGGAATAAACAACAGACCTTACCTCACAGGGTTGTTAGAAGGGATCAATGAAAAGTATGGAGCAAGACGAATAGTAAACAGTTAATGTTGGCTATTGTTCTTGCTCGTCAAATTGTTATCACTTCAACACAATAGTTAAAGAGCTCGAGGTTTGCTAAATGGATTCCAGAGGGCTGGGAAGTGGGGGCAGTGTGTGGGAATCTGCTCATTTGTTGGAACATTCTCATCCTCTAAAGCAGTCATTAAAAAAATTTTTTTAATGTTTATTTTTGAGAGAGAGAGACAGAGCATGAGCAGGGGCAGGGCAAAGAGAGAGGGAGACACAGAATCTGTAGCAGGCTCCAGGCTCCGAGCTGTCAGCACAGAGCCTGATGATGCGGAGCTCAAACCCGAGGAACTGTGAGATCATGACCTGAGCTGAAGTCGGATGCTTAACCAACTGAGACCCCCAGGCGCCCCTAAAGCAGTCATTTTTAATTGGCATCTGTTTGTGTCATGAATTTTCTCCGTGGAGAGTACCAATGTGACACTTTGTGCAAACAGAGGCAAACTGCTGCTCAAGCTACCAAATGGCACCTGCTTTTCCTCTAACAGGAGTGATATTTTTATATTATGAAGTTGAGGCCAATAACAGAAGGTAGACAAGCGCTGTTCTACGTTACCTCTCTGAGTAATGGACAATAAAGAACAGTGAAAATGGAGAAGAGAGTAACCTAGGAAGACACCTTCTAATATTACAATGTCGAGAAAAGCGCTTAAGACATGGGAGTTTAAGAGGCGCCTGAGTGGTTCAGTTGGTTTGGGCTCAGGTCATGCTCTCACAGGTTCAAGCCCCACATCGGGCTCTGTGCTGACTGTGTGGACCCTGCTTGGGATTCTCTCTCTCTCTCTCTCTCTCTCTCGCTCGCTCTTAAAATAAATATATTTTTAAAAAAGACGTGGGCATTTGAGGCCATTTCTGTTTTCTCACCTTTGCAAATATTCACAAGCTGACTTGCTGAGCTTATCACCTCCTTCCCGCCATCACAGACCTAACCTGGCCACTGGGATGACTAAGGCTACTTTCCACATTTAGGGTTCCTTTCATCTCAGGGAGTCAAAGCATTCCAGTTGACATAATAATACAACTTTCAAGAAATAGAGAATTAAGGTTAAAAAAAAAAAAGACCGAGAAAATGAATTACGGTTGGATTTGGCAACCACTGTGAAACTTCCCACTTTCAGAAATTCCTTTTTGATCCATTCAAGGCTGCAGCTTCCAAGATCCGATGGCCTTTCTGACGTTAGCCAGGTGTGTGATTCGGAATGTAATAGAAAGTGAAACTAGATCCCTTGCCCCAAGCTGCCTGGGTCGCTTGTGTCTTCTTCAAAAGAGTGACAGCACTAAACAGCAAAGGAAGGCAGGAAACCTCGGAAGGTGAGCTGCCGCACTCAACTTCGTTTTGCACCATCTCCTTCAATTCCGTTGCCACCGATCAAATCCAGTCCACTTGTTGATAGTGTTATGGGGACAATGAAACTACTTTTAAAGACTCAAAAGTCACTGGGTGTTATATGGAAACCAATTTGACAATAAACTATTTGTAAAAAAAAAATAAAAATAAAGACTCAAAAGGGACTGATCTTTTGACTAAGAGAATATTGGCAGCCAGAAAGCGGACGTATTAATGGATAGAGGCATTTTTCTCTACTAGGTATAGAAGTTAGACTCTTCTTAAATCTCAAGTCTTAAGAGAATGGTAGGGTGCCAAATCGGTTAATTAACAAATATTTGCTGGACACACACCATATACTCTGAAGTACCATGCTGGCGATAAATCTTGTGTTTGTGTCCAAGTAACAACAGAGCAGATTCTACTAGGGAAAAAAAGAAAAAGCCCTTCAAATCCAGCGTTAATGAAATGTCATTCCATGTTACTGTGATAATATAATTTCGTGAGTATTTATCTCATCACAGCAAAATGTTATACAGGCAGGGGTTCTAACAGATATTCTAGAACTCAACTAGAAGGTGGTAACCAGTATATGTTGGCTCAAACTGAGGACATCTAGACATTCCCGGTTGCCACACCAGGGAATAAAGTGTTTAAATTATGCATTTGAGTGTAGGTTAAGTTCCTAGAAAGATACTTTAATAATATATCACTTATTTGTTTCTCTGTATTTTGGAATGCTCAGGATTTGACTCACAAACTAAGCCATTTTAACAAATGCTGTGTTATGAATATTAATTATATTCCTTCAGCCTGAGTCAAGTTGTGTTTTCTACGGCTTCATCATGTTTTAATCTCCAACACCTCCTTTACCATGTAGACTGCTTTTCAATACTCATGACTCTCTTGAACTCGAGAGGTAAAAGTGATTTCTATACAGACTGTGTCTATAATTCTATTCAACTGAAATACAGACAACGGATCTATTCATAATTTAGCGGTACTTTTCTTGATTTAGAAATTCTCGCCATACTTCACTCGGTCTCACTGGTGAAGTTCAAACTTTTAAACTGCACGTATGCTCAGGTCCATTTTCTTATAGTGGCTGAACGGCAAATTTGGATCTCTGATAAAGAACTCAGTTCTGGGTTCTGCGTTTAATCATGACCCTGGAAGGTACCAGCCTCTATGACGTGAACGGCAATAGTTTTGATGGGAGAAATTACAGGAAAAGTAGAAATCATAAGACTGATGAGGGAATCTTAACTGGAAAACATTTGAGAAACAACTGAATGAAATCTCTACTCTTCACCCTGTTTGTACCACTAATAGCAACCCACCCCCCACATGTATAGATTTCACTTACAGATGGTTGAAAAGCCATTTTCTATGATCGTGTGATACTTTATGTAATTATCTGTAATTAAATGAACACAAGGTAAAAATAGTCAACTGAAAATAATATAAAGTATTCGGAACAATTACGAGGCTAAGCAATGTTGTTTTTCATAAGGGAAGGTGTCACATGCTACAAAGTGGCACAACCAGAATGGAGTGAGCTGTGGTTAAGTGTAAATCCTATAGCAATGAAAGTCATTTGTATTATCCTTACTTCTTTGAATAAATTCAGATGACAGCTCTATTTCATTTCTTCATTCAGTTTGGAGGCCAGATGGCATTAGAATCATTTACTTCACCTTGTTGTGCTTAATTACTACAATCAACACACTATTTTCCAAATTAATCATAACAAAGTAATTTCATTAGTAACACAGCAGGCTGTTGAATTATTAGCATCATAACAGTTTGCAAACAATTAAACTTTATTTGAACCTTAAAAATTTGCAGAGTGGAACATTATTGTAAGATCTAATGGCAATAGAGTACAAATTCAGTACAGAGCAAATAATCAAGCAAAATGCTATATAAAATATGACTTACAATCACCTTTGAAAAAAATTAGCTCTCTAACTGTTCATAGAAAAACAAATAAAAGCTAAGCAAACATAATGAGAACATAGCAATTAGCATATTTTCTAACAAGCCATGTTGTTTAAATTCACATTAATGATATTATTATGATCTTGAAGAGAGTGTGATATACTGTCAAGGGTGCAAAGAAAAGTTTCTCCCTGATAGTTTACAAATGATTTCGCCACATGAATACAAAGGAGTCACGCACTGAAAGTAATGATTATTTTTCTTGTCACTCTAATTTTAAATCTTTGGTTTCCTTTCCTATCTCCCACCTATATTCAAGTTAAACAAGACAAAGGCCACAGGAGCTCTGGACAGAAGTAACACTTTATTTCAATCTGGATTGTCCCCCTTCACAGAGAGACTATCTGGCTTGGAATTGTCGGTCATCAGTTGGCAAAGGACTCCCTCTCCTGGTTTAACTGTAAAAGGAGGCAAAACTCTTACACGCTTTACATTCAGCTCCAGTCGGTGCCTGAGTGGGGGAGGGGCTTCCTAGTGCTTTCGGATGCGATGAAAAGCTGCTGCCACCTACTGGCCGAGCACGAAAATCTTCCCTTCACCCAGAGGCATGAAACCTGTATCCAGAACCAAGACTGCATTTTTCAGGGGAAACCCACAACTGCTTTTGCTTCCCACCTCGCAGGCTTTGAAAACCAAACCACTAAATTTGGCTCCGGTTGTCTCATTTTTGCCAAGATGATTTCAACCTGCTCCAACAGACCTCTGTTAGGAACAGGTCAGCGAGTGCACACATTCATTTCTGAAAGCTTTAACTTGACAATGTCTAATTTGTGTAAGTTAGAGTCGACCCACAATCTGAAATATGTATTTCATCACATTTGAAATCTGATGATCACAGTATTGAAGAGAAAACGTTAAACTTAAGTTCTGAAATGTTGTTTATAAACAGTTTTCTATAAATAAAGTGGGGGGTTACATAGTATTAGTTCATTCCTGGTTAGAATCTTTATAAAACAAACGTCTGAAAAGTTCAACAAAGGTAGTACCCCCTAATCGATGATTCGAAATTAGATGAGTCTATTTACATCAAATAATTAACCAATCAGCAGTACATTTTGATATATATCAAGGCCACGCTGCAAGTACCTTATCGGCATTTAAAATACCCTTGATTTCAAATATATACGGAAAGGTAATGTAATCATTCCACAGATCTTGCTCCGGCAGCACAACATATACCTCCAGCGTCGGCTAACACTCCCTCTCCATTCACCTGTTGATACATGTTCCCGCCATGATTGCTATGCTGTCCTCTCTGAGCCCTTCCTTTTCTTCTGACTCCTCTGAGAAGCGTAGAGGAGACTCGGACCTGGGGCTCTCCTGCCCTGTGCTGGGATTTCAGCAGCACAGCAATGATCAGGCAGGATAAGGCAGTGCTCTGTTAGGTCTTCTTAACGTTGAAAATACACAGAGACTCTTTACGCCCTTGTGTTACACAGAAAGGGCTTTCTTATGAATTTTTTAAAATTTTATTAAGTTTAAACAGAACCGTGGTGGAAAACGTTGGCAAGTCCATCCTCTACTCAGGACGTTTGCTCTTGATAAAGGGCTTTGCACGGGCCACGGTTCTGGGCTGCTCAAGTGTTGTAGGCATCCGCACACGAACATCAGCAGCTCTATCCTTTTTTCTTTCTTGTGGCTGTATTTAACATGAAGGAAACTTTCCAATCAGTCAAATTCTCTCATGAAAATATGTTACTTCTGTGTGAAAGATAAGCACTAAGATAGATCACCTCCAAAGTGTTAACAAAGCTACATTCTTGAGAAAGCGTCTACCTACCCAAAGTTCGCATGATATATTCAATTAAGATTTCTATGAAATTGCATATTACATTCTAAAATATAATTGACATCCAACGTGAAGAGAAATTACTACAACTCATAATGAAAGTAGCAGTGACTGTGGGGTACACATCAAGTTGTGCTGAGTTCTTCACACAAATCAAATGAGTAAATAACTACATTTATTTCTTAGCAAAGCAGCAACAGGCACAAGTTTCCTACCTGCATCTAGTTTACATTAATATTCTTTATTTAATTTCACATCAGAGGAATATTATAAGGAATGCATAAAAATAACACTACAAGACAAACGTTCAATAAAACACAAAAAGGTTATGAGCTGCCACACAGGCTTTCGAGATGATTCTAAATCCAAAGCATTTAACTGGCTAGCAGAAGAATCTTCCTTTGCTGCAGGCAGAAAGGGAGAGTTGCATCTTAAGTTCTGTCTTCAGTTGAAATGTTGATTTTTCCTACTTAGAAACAAAAATTACATTTTTAGCCCAGGAAAGATGAGTGTTTACTCAACATCTTGTCAATTCAGCTCCTCAGAAAGACCATAAAAAGTGATGTTTTACTCAAGAGGAGAAGGTGTGGGAAAACATCCAGTCACTAGCAAAGGGACTTTCTCGAAATAAATCTATTTCCAAAGTAAATTCTATGAGATTATTTAAAAATTAAACCAGGTTTTCTAAAAAGAAAAAAAAAAGGAGAAGAAGATGCTGGGAGAGCACGGTCTTCATGCTCTCAGAAAACTACAAAGACTTTTTAAAAGGCAGGGACTCATAATGCAGAGACCAAGAGAACATATGAGCTATTACAGAATATTGGATTAAAATGTACTTACCCAGGACTCTCAAATATCATACATCTCCATTATGTAGGCTTTCGGCACCAAGCCAATGGCTCCCTTCATTTCTCCTACCCACCAGCCATATCTATTGTATTCCTAATTGAAAACAATATGCAATATTAACCTTTAGACTGGTATAAGTACAATGTCGTTTATATGCAACTTCTTCAAAATGTTATTTCTTTTTATAAAGTTACAAGAGCTTGAGCGGCAAACTGAAACATTTTAATCTTTTTTTGTTTGCTTCTGGACACTTAAAAATGCTGTTAGGCAAAGATTTAAATTAACATATAAGACAAAGCCTGTTCATTACTCTGTAGAGAACACAGAAACAGTCACTTGGGATAAGAACTCAGCAAATGAAACGACACGAGGAAGTCAGCTCCCTGGGCCTATTTCCCTTCTCCTTCTCCCCCCGCCGCCCCCCCCACCCCGGCCTGGCAAGCACCTGCTTGGCCTGGGAGATACCTTTTCCATGCAAACACCAGTGCTAGATGCTAGGGGTACAGCCAAGATGCTTAGGATACTATCTATGCCTTCAAGAAGCTTATCATCTAGCAAGGAAAGAATTACTTTTTCACAGTAAACGAATTCCTAGCTGAACTCATATGACTGAAAATTATTTAGATTGGCGGGCTAGGCCCCTTCTTAAGAAAAATCTAGTATGTGAGTATATTTAAACAGATAAATGAAAGAATAAGAAAACACTACTAATATCCACAAATGTTTGCTTTATAAAATAATTTTTAAAGGCTCCCTTTAAAATAGCTTCCCTACGGCATTTAGTTGAAAAGCTTTTATTGTTGCTTTCAACTAATCACAAACTATATTAGATAAAGGATGGGTGGTAGGAATGTAAAGGTGGTGTTAGATTCACCCTTATGGGAGAAGATCAATAAGGAATAAAGTATCTCAAGTTATAATGGCAAAATATTAATCTAGCTGTAAAAAAGAGTGATCGATGAGCTGCTTTTGCATTTACTTTGCAACGTGAGATAAACCTATACCTGTGTTTCTCCCCTTTGCCTCCACTGACAGATCCAACACCGCTTTAGGCATCATGAACACTCTGTAACCGGCCTCATATGTCTGCCAGATTGACTAATGTATTTTTATCTCAAATTTATTTATGTTTAGTGAGATACAAACAAAGTAAAATGAATTACAAGTTTCAAGAATAATATCTTCCAAAAGCAATACTCGGCAAAAGCATTTGTAGGACCCAAATTTAATTTTTCATAGAAGATAAATTTTTAAAATCAATCCCAAAAGTAATTCAATAGGCTATGATTTTCCAACATCTGAGTCCTAGATAAATGTGCATCTGCATATTGAGTTACAGGTGGGGAGGGAATATTCAGACTAGCACAGACCTAATAACATTTGTATTGATTAGTATGCTATTGACCATCAGAAAGGAAAATCATATAATTCTTCAATACAAATGTAGCAAAAACATTAGCATGTGTGCATTGATAATGTAGTCTATCAATAGAGAGAATGCAGGATTAAAATCTATATGTGCTTTTTAAACAGTGGGTTGTACCAGAATTCAGTTTATTGGGAGGAAAAGGTGAGGGGGGGGGCGGTTAAGGCTAACCCTGTACTTATTATGAGGGCACAGCTCTGGCTTATTAAGACAGGGGACTCAAGGTTTTAAGTTTAAAAGTTCAATGATGGTGTGAATTTAATGGATGAAACTGTCTAAAAGCAATGAAAATAGTCTGATATCCGAACCTAGTGATAACGACTAGAATCTGCGTAGGATATATTTATCAGAAGAAAACACCAACTTACTGAAAGCTATGATTAGCAACCATTATATCTTAATAGGTACCTAATAAAACTGCCCTTTTCAATTTTTAAGGCAATGAATACAATTAGAGCCTAATGCTTAATAAAACAAATGTATTTAACCTTCGAGATGCAAAAGGCCTACATTGTAAGATTTCAAAGTGGATGGTTAACAGGTGCTGTCTGAGTATGAAAGCTCTACCCAATGTCAATGTAAGATTTCTTAAAAATTGATTATTTGTAAAGAGTAAGGGAACTAGCGCCCCCAACAGGCAGAGAACATACTCAGTGAGAAGGCATATTAAGACCCAAATCTGCTTTCAGAGACAAGCACTCAATCTGGGCTACCAGGTTTAAATTCAAATACAAACAAGAATACTCATATCATTTTATAATATTCCACTTTGGTTATAATCTGTACTCTCAACTGAGGACATACTATTGTTCTCAAAAAGCTCACTCAGTCCAAAGCTGAGAAAATTGATTTTCAACAAATCATTTCACCAAAGGACCAATGACACACTTCACACTTGAGAGAATTCTGCATGATGGTCACTGGTGAGACTCATTAAATAGAAAGTACACTGGGAAATTGGGGCGGCGGGGGGGGGAGGGGCTTCTTCGGCTACAAACAAATCCCTTAAAAGTAACATTCTAGGAAAAAATAAAGTTTCAGACTCAAATTCTCTTAAATGCTTCACTTCATTTAAAATAGTTCCAAAGCACATGAAATTTGCTCATACAAGTACTCGAAAATATCACAGGTTTGCATCAGAAAAGGGTATAAAATAAAAACTAGGGTGTTCTGTACTTTACATTTGTAAAGGATTCCATAGAATACTCCTGTGTGGAATTAAGAGGCAAGATAAAATACAGTGAGGTGAAAATCTAGTAGGCAAATTTATAGATTTACACTGTGGCCATTAGAGTATGTTGACAAGATTGCAAACACAGAAGCTTTTACTTTTATCATTACCGCCCTCCATACGAGCCTCGTGAGCAACATGAATCCCAATTAAACCACTTGCAGCCTATAAATTGGAAAGAGGATGCTTCCTGGAGTACGGTGTTCTAAACTTGAGCCTCAAGATTCAGTATAGCTTTCTTTCGGAAGAAGCAGATGTGCCTCTCTGTCTCTCCTGTTTGCCACGCCCAAACAAACGTGACTACAAATGGCATATTACTTACAGTGGAAAGAATGGAATCCATACAATGTTGTCTTACTGTCTTATTAATTATAGTAGTGTCTTAAAAGTCACAGGTGGGTCATTAGAAAAAAAGATAACCCTCAAACCTTATCTTGTTATCCAACAACAAAAAAAAAAAAAAAAAAGAAAAGAAGAATAAAAAAAAGAAAGAGACAAAACCATACCAGGCTGCCATCTAAATCTCTGAAAGGTTAGGAAGCATACTGTCATCTTTATGGCATTCGAGATCTCAGGTACAAGAAGGTCTGCCATCTGGTATCCCTCACCCTACTTGGCTCTTAACATCAACTGAAATGCTAACATAGGCAAGTGGCTGTGCTTCAGGAGGACTGATAAAATAATGAAGAGTCCTTTAATCTACAGGAAACCATTCCAGTCAATTTATAAGAAATATTGCATCCCTTTGCAGGACGTGTAATTATTTTCTATTAATCATGTGCTATAAAGCTACATTATGCGGTTATTCTGTTATCACTAGAAAGAGGCCTGCAGTCAGCTTCTGACAATGTTAGGTAATTACTAACACAGAGCTTCTTTCTCCGCCCGTAGTAATGCGATCAAGATGCAGAGGTGTAGTGATGCTTACTGTATAAAAACAGTGCTCAGAAGGAATTCAGCATCTGCAAAATGGAAGGCCTCCAGGCAAAGTGCAATGTGGCAGGCAAGGAAGCAAAATGAAGCCAACCTTGCCCGGTAATCCAAAAATAATCGGAAAGCAGCCCTGCACAGTTGGGCTCTCATCCTCTGTTTTCAATGTTCATGCTGTTGAAATAGTTTTTTATTTGTTTTGTTGTGTCGTAAAATGTTAGGCCTCCATTAATAGTTATTAAGCAACAAACGAAAGCGATTATGTAAGAAGCAAGGGGAGGGGACTGGTTTTGATCATGTGAAACTGATGGTACATGACATGACAGCCAACATATGCCCATGTTTCCTCATTCGCTAAATCTTCATTCTCTGTCCATGGATTATTTCACATTTAAATACTTAAATCAGGTCCCAGCATTCACTTAAATCCTTCTCAGCACCATGATTCTCCTTTCTCAAGTATGTTAAGCCACCTTCTGCAAAGAATGTCATCTTAACAGGAAGTTGAGTCACTAATAAGATTCCATGATGCACCCCCCTTTCCAGAAAATAGTTACCAACCTGTTGGGATGCAACAGGTGTCGAATGGGTGAAAGACTATGTGTGCGTTCTATCTCTGAACACACATCTGTGCTTCAGAACATACCAGCCTTTTGCAGAAATGGGATTAATTTGATTCACAAAATGTAAACTGCACTGAGTTTCAGAACCAGAGGACTTCACCACTGATTTCCAACTATTCACTGTGATAGTCTCAGTTTTTCACAAACATTGTAGTAGTGTGAAAACCAGATACCTATGGAAAACACAGAATCACTTTCTTCAAGGGTACCTCTTCAATCTTTTCCTTTTTACTATCTCCAGTTAAAAACTTTATAAGAATCCCTTCATTTCTCCTACATCCATCATTTCATCCTTTAAAATGCACAACAGGAATCTGACAATCCCAGTGTTCTACTACTATGATCTATACATGAACTCCTTGAATTTTCATCTCCTAAGCTGATAAATGAGGAAACTGACACTAACACTCTCTAAGATCCTCCGTGGTGTCTGAACACCACCCTCTCTGAACCTGCTTTAAGACACCGAGTCTTGGGGCGCCTGGGTGGCTTAGTCGGTTAAGCGTCCGACTTTCGCTTAGGTCATGATCTCGCGGTTCGTGGGTTCGAGCCCCGCGTCGGGCTCTGTGCTGACTGCCAGCTCAGAGCCTGGAGCTTGTTTCAGAGTCTGTGACTCCCTCTCTCTCTGACCCTCCCCTGCTCACGCTGTCTCTCTCTCTCTCTCTCTCCTAGAAATATATAAAACATTAAAAAAAAAAATTTAGGGGCACCTGGGTGGCTTAGTCGGTTAAGCATCTGACTTTCGCTTAGGTCATGATCTCGCGGATCGTGGGTTCGAGCCCCGCGTCGGGCTCTGTGCTGACTGCCAGCTCAGAGCCTGGAGCCTGTTTCAGTCTGTGACTCCCTCTCTCTCTGACCCTCCCCTGCTCACGCTGTCTCTCTC